GTCATCATATTGTAAAAGAAAGCATGGACCACCCATAGGTATAATGTTTGGGGCATATTTGATCCCATTTCCTAAGTCATGATTGCCCTTTTGGTTTGGTGTGTAACCTGGTGGTGTTAGCTGTTTGCTATTCTCCATTATTTTTCTTTTTCTTTTTTGTTTGTATGAGCCTTTGAGGTTTAAATCCAATATTGCATCATTTTCTTGGATTGTAGCCCCTTGAATTGGAAGACATTTTCTTTCACCCCCATCTCGAGTTTAATACTATAGTCTCTGTCAACTGAGGGGGTAATAATCTATTGACTGAGTATTTTTTAATGTATTCCCCCAGGCTTCCACTGTCTACAAGCATTACGCTTCTATTTCTTCTTGGTTACAATGAACCATTCCCTATGCATGCTTTTTGAATACGCCTTCTGATCATGAGTATTTTTTTGTGGGTTATTCATGCTTTATGAAGTCTCATGATGGAATTTGGGGCTTTTTGTGATGTTATGTTGAGTTAGATCCCTTGACTTGGTCGTAGTGCAATGCTTAGCAAGATGCCAATAGTGGCCACACCTTATGCAAATAATTTGAAGACTTGTGTATTCTACCTTATGCCAATGATCATTAAGGCAAAATTTCCCTACCATAGGCTGTAGAGATCAATCTCCATGCAAACATAAGCGAACCTAACCCATGTTTGCGTTCAAGGTGTTTAAGTCCACCTTGATAGGTTTCCCTATTATGAAAGAAATTGTGAGGAGGACATTTTCATCATAGTATAGCATCCCCAAACTAGGGAAGCGAATCCAAACAAGTGTTTTATCTACCTTTGAGTCAAGAGTTGAGAATTTAGGGTTTGAGGTAATGGTTGAAGATCATCAAGAGGCTTATGTTCATATCTTTTTCTCTATCTTCTTCAATGTCAAATTTCACCAAGAAGAAGCCATTAGAGATATCTATTAGTTCAAAGCCTCCTTTGAGCTTCCACGTTGAATGTAATCTATCTTTCATGGTCAAGAATCCAAAACCTTTTCCAAATAGTTTGACGATGAGGCATTTCTTCCACAGAGTGCAAAGTTCTTCGTACTTTGCTGGTGTAATCTTAAACTTTGAGAAAAGGTAGTGTCTTCCCTCTAAGACCATTTACATGAGACCATCATTTATCAAGTTACAGGATTGGGAGGGTTAAAGTGTTAAGTCAGACGAAGTGTATTCTCAATTCCCACCAAGGTTTTGAATATGAAAAATATAATACATATTGTTATTACTAACATGTGCATTAGTGTTTCAGTCGGATAACGAAAAGTCCAAGCATAATCTGACTAAACAAAATATTAGACGATAGAAAGGCCAGCATCAAGGCTAAGGCTGATTCAGGCTCAAATTAGATACAAAGTCTATCAAATAGAAGCCTGAGGTATCAGACGCAAATTGGTCAATATAATGACATCAATGGCCAAGGCATCAACATGAAGTGACCATCAGGAAGAATCAATATAAAAGACGAAGTTATCACTTCCACACTCAGACGAAAAGAAGCGTCAAGATTAGATGTAGCATCTTATAACCAGACGATGTCGAGAATGCTAAAGCACGTCTGAAGTCCACTAATCACATTGAAAGGAATTATACAAGAAACACAAGAGGACATAATCGAGAAAAAAAATAGTCCAAAACATGCATTCACAAGTCAAAGTTGAGTGCATCAGAGAAAGGACATATACTTTTCAGGAAAAGATAGCACCGCAGCGGCTAAATTGATGAGAGAAGTAAAAATATACTTAGATTATGATTGGAGTCAGATATCGAAGAAATCAACTACACAGAGAAGCTCTACAAATACAAGCAAGCATTTAATGCAATATCAAATGCATTAAATGAGAAGATTTGCATGAACATGAATGAAGCGTCCATCTGCTACGACACAAGACTACGCTCCAACCGAAAAATTCAAATTAAAAGCAACGGGCAGATTTATCAAAAAAAAATATAAGTATTAAGGTGTAGAAGAAGGAGAACAGAGAAACTGAGAAAAACGTGCAATACAAAAAAGAAAATCAAGAGCATAAACTATCCTTTTCTTCTCAAAGAAATTCCTGTATATCTGTGTAAAAGCTAAGATAGCTTATCTTAGTGAGTGTTTCCAATAGTTCATCCTCTCTACGAGAGTAACCAAACACTCAGACACCTATCATAAAAAAACTAAGGTAATGCACCTTAGTGAGTGTAGAAATTATCCAATCCTCTTTGTGAGAGTAATTCATACACTCAAAACCTACAACTACTGTAAAGCCTAAAGAGGCTGGTAGAAAGAATACTTGTGAACCAGAAGTGGTTAAGAATACTAGAGTTGGTGAGTGAAGCAGACGGGACAGGAGTGGTCGAGAGTAATTGTAGCACCAAAAGTGGTTAAGAATAGGAGCGTCTAGTTGACGAGCCAGAAGTGGCTGAGAATACTTGTAATCCTTTGTAATTAGTGGAACCCTTCTGCGAAAGGAAATTAGACGTAGCTCAGATTGAGTGAACCAGTATAACTGTCTGTGCATTCTCTTTACTTTTCAGCATCACATACTTTGCACTTGATTTACTTTGTTTTTCAACAAAGCTTTGGACAAAAACTTATTTGATCGTGTGGAAACTATTCTACCAGACGATAACATTTTCCAGACTGAAAACCAGTTTACTTCATCTTCTGCGTTGAAAATTAGTTTTGTTACAAAAGTCACTAGACGAAGATTCTAATTAAGATTGCTAATAGTATTCTTGCGAAAACGTTTTCAAAAATTTCTTTGAATCCGAACACACACGTTCAACCCCCCTTCTGTGTGTATTTCCGTTAACTTCATAAAGAACTATTCCCAAAACTTTCTCTCTAAACATCGCAAGAATGGTGGTTGAAAGGCCTCAATGATTTGACAATTTTAGCTCTAGAGTGCTAAAGAAAGGATTGCTCTAACTCCATCTCACCATGAAAGCTTATTGTTGCTCTCTCAAATTTAATTTCAATTACTTTTTATTTTTATTTTTTAAATAAAATACACGAAAGTACAAAGTACCTTTTATATGCTAATAACTATAATATGGGGCTGGACTATTTGGTGTACTTAAAAATATAAATCTATCACTCTAATACACGACAATGTCGAGACATATAAAATAACATAATGAGACAATATGAATTTGAAGAAAAAGTTTAGAACAACTTTTAATCCTTTGTGGATGACCTTGCATTTGATACTAAATGATGACACATCTTCTCAGGTTTCTTCTCTTGAAGAATTGTGCATCCAATTCCAAACAAGAGGTGAATGTGAAGAAAATCAAAAGTGAAAGGGAATAGATAAAATTGTTAACATTTGAAGGGAGTTTTTCCCAAAAAAAAACGTCTACCTAAATGAAGGATAATTCAGTAAATTTTAATTGACTCCAAATAAGAATTTAATACATATTATTAATAAGATTTCTTTCTATAATTAATTACAACTATTATATGGTTGGTTGCTTATATATATCTTCTATTATTATATATAAAATTATTATATAAAATTTTAAACATTTGAAGAAATTTTTTTCCAAAAAATCAACATAAATGAAGGACAATTAAAAAAAATTTAACTGACTCCAAATAAGGATTCAATACATATTATTAATAAGATTTCTTTCTATAAATTTTTTTAATAAAAAAAATCTTATATTATATAAAATTGAAAACATTTGGAGGATTTCCCTCCAATATCAACTTAAATAAAGAACAATTAAATAAATTTAAATTAAATCTAAATAAGTGTTTAATAATATTATTAATAATTTTTTTATAATTAATTAAAATAAGTTATATGAACAATGAATGAGTTAAGTAACATATTAATTTAAAATCTTACTATATAAAATTTTTAATATTTGAAGGATGTTGTTCATTCATAAATGTTTATTTTTTTATATTGATTATAAATGTCTATCTAAATAAATATATTTAATAAATTTTAGTTGATTCCAAATAAAGGTTAAATATATATTATTAATAAGATTTCTTTCTATAAAAAATTTAAAGATAAGATATAATAATCGTAATTAATTATAGAATTTTTTAAATAATATTTATTAAATTCTTATTTTTGAAGTTAATTAAAATTATCGAATTATCTTTTATTTAAGTAGGTTTTTTTAAAATTTCTTCTAAATGTTAATAATTTTATATAATCCTTTATTTATTAAAATATTTATTTTTGATCCTTTATTTTTTATATTTAGATTAATTCAATTTTTTTAAAATAACAATAATTTTTAGTTCTATAACTCAATTTTGAATTAATTTTTGACTTAATTATCTTTTAGACTTATTTTTATATAATTTTCATCATATTTATAATATTTTTTATTTAAATTTTAATTACATTCAACAATTTTTATATAAAAGAATCATTATTTCAAAAGGATCAAATTAATTTAAATTTAATAAATAAAATATTATAACAAATATTTTAAAAATAAAGAATTAAAATAAATCTAACAAATAAGGAATAAAAATATAATTTAGTTTAAAATAAAATATGATATAGTAACATAATTTTATCTAATATTTTCTGATGCGAAGTAGATTAATTATTTTAGAATTTCTTTTAAATATAACACTTTATAATTTTTAGCTTCAACTTTTAGAAAAGAAAGTCTTATAAAAATTAATTACAACTTGCCACCGTACGTTACGGCAGTTGAAAGCAACCCAACGTAGCGGAAACGCAACTCCTGTTCACTCGATTTGCTCTTTACCACTCTCGCAACGAAGTTTCCAGACACTGTTTATTTATTTTCTTTCATTTTCCATCATAAGATTCATAACAAAAACTAAATAATTAAACACTCATTTATCCAAAAAAATTATGGAAAAATATTAAACACAGATACTCTCGAAACGCGTGGCACATACGAGTCAGTGTACCAAAAGCAAACAGTACACAGTTTCTGAGCGCGTGATCCCACGCGCACAGTTACATATAGTGAACGAAACCCCAAAAATTCCCAAAACCCATAGACGCAGAAACCAGAAACCTTCGTTCTCTGTTCTCCGAAACCCTCCTCCATGACCCGGTCAATGGATGCCGTAGAGCCGCCGCCGCCGGCGTCCGATCTCTTATTCGACGATTTCTCCGCCGCGTTCGACAACCTCCCCTTCCCTTCCATGGACTCGCTGTTCAACACCGACGCGCTTCCCTCCGCCTCCGATCTGGAATTCGGCATGGATTTCGACGGCAACGGAGAATTCGAAATCACCTTCGAAGACCTCGACAACATCTGCATCCCCTCCGACGCCGACGATTTCCTTCTCCCCGACGCGTGTAACCCTAGCAACGACTCGATCCACGATTCTTCATCAAAGAATCCCGATTGCCAAGTCATCAATTCCGATTCGCCGCATTCAGTCGCGTCTGCGGTTTCCGGAGATCGGAGCCCCGACGTGTCTAGGTTTTTCAATTCGCAAGCGTCGGACTCGGTTTCAGAGGATGATTCGTGCAAGCAGGGTTCGCACGACGCGGTTGATGTCAAGGCTTCGTCGCCGGAGACAGAATTTTGCGACCGGGAAGAGTCTTCTAACGAACCGGTTTCGTCTCATGGTTCGGGCAACGGTGGATCGGGTGTATATGAAGCCATGAACTCGCCCTCACCGGATTATGGCTCTTACGAGAGGGACATAACGTCGTCTCGGGCACATGCAGTTATGGAAAATGGTGTAAAATTGGAGGAAATCGGTGATCTGAAGAGAAAGAAAGAGGGTTCTGAAGGAAGTGCTGAGAAGAGAACCTCCAAGTATAGAAGGTTCTCTTCCTCGGTGGAGAACAAGACTGAGAAAGAGTCTCTTTCTGATGTGAATGCAATTGATGATGACGATGAGAAAAGGAAGGCGAGGTTGATGAGGAATAGGGAAAGTGCACAGCTTTCTAGGCAGAGGAAGAAGCATTACGTGGAGGAGCTTGAGGAGAAGGTGAGATCGATGAATTCCATCATTGCTGATTTGAGTAGTAAGATTTCATACATGGTGGCTGAGAATGCTACTCTTAGACAGCAAGTGGGGGCTGGTGTGATGTGTCCTCCACCTGCTGCAGGGATGTACCCTCATCATCCTCCAATGGCACCCATGCCTTATCCTTGGATGCCATGTGCTCCCTATGTTGTCAAGCCTCAAGGGTCTCAGGTTCCCTTGGTCCCCATTCCTAGGTTGAAGCCTCAGCAACCTGCTTCTGCCCCCAAGGGTAAAAAGTCTGAGAGTAAGAAGGCTGAGGTGAAAACTAAGAAGGTTGCTAGTATTAGTTTGTTGGGTTTGTTTTTCTTTATCATGCTTTTTGGTGGGCTTGTTCCTCTGGTGGATTTTAAGTTTGGAGGTTTAGTGGACAATGTTCCTGGTACTGGTATGTCTAGCTATGTTAGTGATAGGGTGTATGGTCATGGTGGAGGGAAGGTTTGGCCTTTGAGTAATGGTCATAGGAATGGGTCTGAAAGAGATGAAGAAGTAGGGTTTTCTAATGGGAGGTTTAGTGTTTCTGATCGAGTGAATAATGAGAGAGGCCGGCGTTTAGGAGAAGAAAAGGGTGATCGGCAAGGCCCGGATGATTCTGGTCGTCAGGGCAATGCCAGTGAGCCTCTGGTTGCTTCTTTGTATGTTCCTAGGAATGATAAGATGGTGAAGATTGATGGAAACTTGATTATCCATTCTATTATGGCCAGTGAGAAAGCCATGGCATCTCAAACTGCTGAGGCGAAGAAGGACAAGAGAGAAACTGGTTTGGCCATTCATAATGACTGGGATTCTGCGTTGGCTATTCCTGAAGTTGGAAGAAACAGAGGTCAACATCCAAACGTGTATAGGGTTCCTGCCGAACAGAGGAAGGCTCTTGGCTCTGGTTCAACCAAAGCTTTGAAGGACCATATGAAGTCTTCTGCAACTGATGGTAAAATGCAACAGTGGTTCCGTGAAGGCCTTGCAGGTGATTATCTGTTTATTCTGGCATTCCTTCTGAATTTTACTCTGTATAGGTTGTTTGACAAGAATGGAGATGATACATTGCTCTTCGACTGACTTGTATTATGTTATTTGTTACTGTCAAATCTTAATTTGTGCATATTCTAGCATTATTATAGGTTCAAGGCTTTAAATTTTGGGGATGATCAAGTCTAGAAGATGACAAGATGCTATCTATGCTATGCTGTAACATGTTTTGTGTTTGCTTTGGCTGTTCATTGATTTCCCTGAATCAAAATTCACCACGCTGATTGGTCATTGAAAATTGTGACACTAAATATTTCTTTGACAAGTTTCCTTAGTTATATCAGATGTCTTCCAAATTAGATGGATGAACTACTTTAACTCCCGAGTGTCGAATTAGTTTGGTGAGCTTGGTTTGGTTTTACTAGTGCTTAATTTAAAAATATCTTTCCACTAATTTTTGCATTTTTGTTTCACTTCAACATTGTTGTATCTGTAGAATAGCTTTTTTAGGCAATGATATACACTCATTAATCATTATCTATGTTGTCTCTGCCGAATATAATGACTTCGAGATGTCCACCTCTCTATCATGCTTGAGCATAGTTTTTTGCTGCTTGCTTAAGTTATGCTAAAATAGAGGATCTGTTAGCCTATTTTGATACCCACATAACATTGAAAATATATTGAGTTTTCTGGTTTCCTGATGCAGGGCCAATGTTAAGTTCTGGCATGTGCACTGAAGTTTTCCAGTTTGATGTTTCTCCAAGTCCTGGAGCTATAGTTCCTGCAACATCAGTAGCCAATGTTTCTAACGGAAAACGTCAGAATGCTACAACTGTCAAAAAGACCGGGAATAGAAGAACCCTTCATGGGCTCCCGGATACGCTTACTGGATCTAGTCTGAACATAACTGAAGAACATGTAAAGAACTTGCAGAAAAACCACCTGGGTAATAAATCCTCTATGGTGGTTTCAGTCCTTGTTGATCCCAAAGAGGCCGGTGATGGTGATGTTGATGGCATGATGAGACCAAAGTCACTCTCTCGGATTTTTGTGGTTGTGCTAATTGATAGTGTCAAGTATGTAACTTACTCGTGTGGTCTGCCTCGTGCTTCTCCCCATTTGGTGACGGCCGGTAAAATGTTTTGATCCAGCTGAAACCATCTAACCTGAAATCTAGTATCTGTAACGAAGTGTGTGGGGACTGGGATTCAAAGATACTCACCTCCAGTTTTGTACATAATAACATATTTAAAGTAGCAGAGGCTTAAAAATATACTTGAGAGTTTAGAAGCTGGACTTGAATGGGGTTGACCAACTGTCTTGTACTCAGTTAAGAGACCTCTCTTATAAACTTAATAATATATTCCGACCCTAGAATTTATAAGCGGATCCTTTGTCGTGCGTTATTGAATACGGAATGGGTTTTTGAGACTATGCTTGAAAACTTGGTTTTGGATAATTACGTGTTTATAAAATTGATTTTTTGATTAAAGCACAAGCTTGATTTACGATTTTAAATTGATTTAGAATAAAAATCCGCTGTAGTATCACATTTTCCCACTTATGTTTTTGGGTGAAACAGTGAAAAGCATTCTTGTTTTGAACTTATTTTAGAGCATGTTAGGATTTACACTGGAATAATCTAAATTTATGTGAAAATGTTAGTAAACGTAATTTTATGCAAATGTTAATACATTTGGTCTTATTTAGAAGAATTAAATTATGTTATGCAAATGTTCATGTTTTTGATCTAATATAGAGGAATTAAATTGTGTAGAAATACACTATTAGTTAACGTAATTTTATATAAATTAGTAACTAATAGTATTTTAATATGTAGAATATACATGCATATTTATTATATAATTAAAATTTATAATAAATAAATTATATATAAATAAATATTATATTTAAATATCATAGATAATTTATATTCTAGCATAAAATTATTTATTTATTGATAATTAATTAAAATATTAATATTTAATTTATAAATAATTATGATTAATAAAAAGTAAGTTAGATAAAAAGTTAAAAGAATTTTTATAATTTTTTTTATCAATTTTTTTTAAAAAACATTCTTGCGTAAAATATTGATTTGTGTGTAATATATAAGAGTTAATATTCCGTTTCGGTATGAAAACTTTATTTTAGAGAAATGTAGTGTTAGTTCAAATTCAAAATATTTAACTAAGTAATTTACATTCCTTAACTCTAGAAAGATATTATATACTTGTGTTTGGGTGCATTAAAATCTCAAATTTTTTGGAGTTAATTTTTAAAAATCCTAACATGTTTTCTTTTAAACTTAATTAATGTAAATATATATACCTCTCATGATCAAACCATTAATTTTTTTTTATAGCTAAGTTGGTAGGTAATCAACACAATAATTTATGTTTGATTGGAACAATTTACTTTCGACTTTGAGTTCGAAGAATACACAACTTTTTAGGCTTGAACACTAAAGTGTGAAGAAACTTAATAAACGTTTGTCCTAATGAAGGTGTTAATCGATCAAAAACGTGGATGATACATAATCCTCCATGCTTAAACACCGAACTGTGAAAAGGTTTAGTCACTTAGTAAATGCTTATTTCAACGAAGGACATCGATCGGCCAAAGACCTAGACAACACACCAACAAAATATTAAGTTGGTAAATGAAATGAATGGAAAGTCTTGTTTACTTGTATTAGGTTAGTAAGCAACTCACAGTCAAGAGTTTAGTCATTTTAAATAGTCTTAATATCCTTATTACTCATGCTAAAGGAAAATGTTAGTCTAAACAAAACATCTTTGTGCTAAGTGTTTAACTCGATAACCTTCTAAGTCTTTTTTTTTGTGCGTGATATTTATAAAGTTTAATGAATTAATCTTATTGACAATGAGGTTGATAAAGGTGTAAACCTTAAAGCACTATTCGTGCCAAACTTTTACTTAATTAACCTTTAAATTTTTTTTTGGCTAAGGGTGTATATTGGTAAAAATCTTAAAAAGATCTTCATGCTAAGGATTTTACTTGGTTGATCTTAAAACACTCTCCGTGCTAAGGATATATGTTCATGAAGGCTATAAAGTGTTATTCACGTCAAGGTTTTTACTTGGACAATTTTAAAACACTCTTTATGCCAATGTTGTATGTTGGCGAAAACCTTAAAGCACTTTTCATGTCAAAGTTTTTTACTCGATCGACTTTAACATTCTATATTAAGGGTATATATTGGTGAAGACCTTAAAATACTATTAACGTTAAGATTTTTCTTGACCAACCTTAAAATACTCTTCATACTAATGATGTATGTTGGTGAAGACTTTATAATAGTCTTCATGCCAAAATTTTCACTTAGTCGATCTTAAAACACTCTTCATGTTATAAGGGTATATGTTGTGACTTAAAGTGTTCTTCACGTCAATGTTTTTTTATCTAGTTGACCTTAAGGATCTATTTGGTTCAAAGGAAAGGATATGAGGGATATTAATGGAGGGAAGGAGAAGGGAAGAAAGGGGAGGAAATGAGTTAGAAATTTTATTTGGTTGAGAAAAAAGGGGTAAATTTTTTCTTTTTTTGTTCACAAGGGGAGGGAAGAGATTTTAAAAATCAATTTGCCTTTGTATCCTTATAATTTTAAATTTAAAAGCATAAGTAGGGATATTCTAGACATTATATTACAAATGTTTTAAAATCTCTCTATTTCCTTTCAAATCCCCAATATTGGAGGGAACTAAAATTAAATTAGGAAACGTTTTACTTTCCTCCATTCTCCTCCTAAAAATTGAAGCAAACAAGAAAAAATTATAAAAATCCCTCCCCTCTTTTTTCTTTCATTCCTCTCTAACCAAACACTATATAAAATACTTTTTGTATTAAGAGTATATGTTGCTGAAAACCTTAAAACATTTTTTATATCTAAGAGTTTTACTCGATAAATTTTAAAACATTCTTCTTGCTAAAGGTGGTGGGTGAAGATCTTAAAACACTATTCGTGTCAAGCTTTTTATTTGATTGACCTTAAAACATTCTTTGTATTTGATTGAGTTTAAAGCAGACTTCACACCTAAGTTTTTTTTATTCACATGACCTTAAAACACTCTTTATATTAAGGGTGTATGTTCGTAAAAACTTAATAACGTTTTTCACGCTAAGGTTTTTACTTGATTGACCTTAAAGCATAATGAAGACCTTACAGCATATGCAACGCAGGATCTTAGATCCCAAAATTTCCTGGCAAGATATGTGCATGTAGCATTTTCCACTGCGGTTCACTTTGGTTAAGCACCCGAGGCTTATAGAAGCTCTCGTGCTTCTGAGTTTTTTTAATTAAAAATTAATATTATAATATACTTTTTTTAAACTTGTTTTTGAATGTTATTTTATAACGTTATAAAATTATTTAACGTTATAAAACTAATGTTATATAATAACGTTATATTTTGAACATTATAAAATTATTTTTTAATATAATTTTATATACTAATACTTATATAAATAGAATTTATTGTGTATTTTTTACTCACCAACTTCCTAATTTTTTTTCTTCTCTTTCACTTTTTGTCTCTTAAAGTTCTTTCTTAAGTCAATTTTATCTATTCTCTATTCTCTATTTGATTTGTTTTCACTTAATGGAACCAAATCAAAATCAATTTAATCTCTATTTTAATTTCATGTCAAAATTTTAACGTTCCATTGATCCAAATTCTCAAAATTCTCCATATTTATCACACCCACAAAATAATACAAATATGAACAATTTTTAGTTTTCATTCCCATTTTCATATGGATACCCCATGTTTCAATCGCCACCAATTAACCCCATAATGGATCATGACACTTCAATGGATACTAGTGAAGGTCAATCTTGTGAAAGAGATCTAAAAACACCATTTGAGAAAGAGAAAGAACTAAGTATGAAAGAACAAGAACTTGACCATGAAATTATTTTTAAGGAGACATCTGGTATGACATCTCAACAATTACAATATCATGAAATGTTGTGTAAGAAAATAAAAGAAAAATATGGACTTGAGTGAGGATTTTAGTTAAAATAAGTAATGTAATAGTGTTATCTATGCCTAAAATATGTTCTTATTAATGTAATGTTTTTTAAAGTTATTTATGTAATGTTATTTATGTTTAAAACTTTTCATTATTAATGTAATATTTTTGTCGAAGTTTAAGATTTCTCATTAGTAAAGTAGCCATTAGTCACGCTAACAGTTGGAATCTAGCCATTGGAAATTAGCCTTTAAAAACTAGTTGTTACTCAAACAAGTATATCTTTATAGAAGAAGATTTTTCACACCTTTCAATTGTGCAAACAAGTCTCATCTCAGGCTTAAATTCTTTTAACATTGAGATTTTATAGTGTTCCTTGAAATGAGATCTAGTGATTCATCTTACAAAGAGGATCTTGAGGATGGAATCATTAAAGAACTATACACGAGGTTGGTAATGGATAGACAAAAAACAACTACACATAGGCAAAGATGAAATCATATTGAAAGGAGTCATGAAGAAGGGCATGCTCAGTTTTTCAATGACTACTTCTCCAATGATCCAGTATAAATAGAAGAATAATTTTGACGATGATTTCGAATATGAAGGGATGTGTTCCTTTGCATTATATAATCTTAGAGCAATCATGATGAGTATTTTCAAATGAGAGTTGAGGCAACTAGAAGAAAGGGTCTTTCTCCATTGCAAAAAGTGCACTACTGTTATTCGTATATTAGCACATGGATCACCTATTGATAGTGTTGATGATTATGTGCGAATTGGAGAAAGCACTGTATTGGAATGTTTGAGTAAGTTTGTCCATGATGCTTGTCAGATCTTTGGAGTAAAATACTTAAGAAGACCTAATAATAATGAAATTAAACACCTACTTCAAATAGGAGAGAGACGTAGTTTTCCATGTATGTAAGGTAGTATAGATTCTATGTATTGGGAATGGAAAAAATGTCCAGTGGCATGGAAAGGTCAATATTGTCATGGTGATCATGGAAAATCCATAATCATGCTTAAAGTAGTGGCATCACAGGACTTATGGATATGACATGCATTTTTTGGGGTTGCAGGTTCAAATAACGATATCAATGTGCTTAATGAATCTCCTGTGTTTAATGAGATTTTGTAGGGACAAGCCCCAAGGTTGCAGTATATGGTGAATAAAACCCAATATGACATGAGGTACTATTTAGCAGATGATATTTATACAAAATGGGCTATGCTGGTTAAGATTATCCCATTGCCACAAGGAGATAAAAGAAAATTGTTTGCCCAACATCAAGAAGCAGCAAGAAAAGATGTGGAGCATGCATTTGGATTGCTTCAATCTCGGTTTGCAATTATACGTGGCCTTGTGTGTGCTTGGATACAATCAAACATATTATATATGCATGCATCATATTACATGACATGATTGTGGAAGACAAACGACACACATATGATGATAATTTTGATTATTCTTGTGAACATTTCAACAATGATGTCTTAACAACTGACATACATAATGGTCCTCATCCAAATCTTGTACAATATCTACAAAAGAAAATACTTTTTTGTGATAGGTGTCATCATCAACTTCAAGTCAACCTTATGAAACATATCTGAGAACATTTTGGGCATGATATTTTTCAAAATTAGTTATTATTTTAATTATGTACTTTTTTAACTTTGTAATTTTTATATTATTGTAATTACGTAATTTAGTTGGCTTCATCATTTTAAATAAAACTTGATTTAGTTAAATATTTTTTTTTGTATCATGAAAAAATATTTTGCAAAATAGTAGAATAAAAATCTCTTAGTTTATTACTTAATAAAAAAAATAAGTTAATAAATAAATTATTGATGATATGTAAAAATGTAATATTTTTGTGGGACCCAATTAAGAATTAAAAGATAGATGTTGGATTGGAGAAAAAAATATTTTTTTAAAAGTGCTTAAATTGAAAAGAGTAAAAATGAATGATGTATACATATGAGTTCACTAAAGAACCTAAAGAAAAGATCTCCATTGGAGATAGCCTTAAAGCATTACTCATGCCAAGGTTTTTACTCTAGTGGCCTTAAAACACTTTTCAAGTTAAAGAAAAATATCGGTCAAAACTTTAAAACAATCTTCAATTTATCAACATTATAATTACAAATTTAATTTAGGGACGCGACAACTTAAATTGTAGTCATTATTATAATAATGACTATTATTATAATTCAAATAAATAAAATAGTATCTGATAATTATTATGCTAATAACTTCAAATTTAAAAGTGTAATTGACCGATATACTTAATAAATCATATAATTTTGTCCTCTAATAAATAAAACAAGGTAATATATAATTCATAAACTATTGTTTTTTTTATCGGATTAGGCATATTTGCATAATCGATCTTTTTGACTCTTATAACTATTTATATCTTTGAAGCTTTTTACAGGGTGTTATTATGGGCTATAATGACCTACATGACACATGTAATTTTTTTTTACCCATGAGAACCACAAAGAAAGAGTCACTACAACCGATAATGACCTATTATTAATTGTTATAGGTTACAATGACATAAAAACGACTAATTTTTTTGGGGTTGTTATATCTCATAACAACCCCATTTTTTTTTTTACAATTTTAGGCCACGTGGCACCCTCCTATTGGAACAGGACGGTCAAAGTAAGAAGCACTATGCTCCATACTTTTAGTAACTACCTTGATCTCCTCCATATTAGTAGGCCATTATATCTTTTCATTATTATACAAAAAATAATATTTTTATCAAACTTAAATCTTGAATTCATGACCTTTACACTTGAGGACCAATTACAATCCTAATTAAATCAACATACTTTTATTATTTAATCTCAATTATTATTTTATTTTCAATAGAATAAGTAGCACTATGAGTCATAGCGACCTAAAGTCACTATGACCTATAAAGACCATTTTTTTTTTCATTTTATGTGATCAAGGCGTATGATATTATGACCCATGATGACAATGTTTATAAGTTTTTTTTTAATTATTTTATTTATACTAATATATAAAAGGGATTCTTTTAGCAATCATCTTAGTCTCCTTAACATTTGGTAGACAATTGTACCTTTTAATTATTATAAAAAATAATATTTTTATTAAACTCGAAACTTGAATTCAAAACCTTTCACATGAGAGGATTAACTCCAATACCAATTGGACCAACATATTTCTATTATTTAATTTTAATTTTTATTATATTTTTAATAGAGATGATATGAATTATAGACCTAAGAGAGAAAAAAAAAATTAGCCCAATATGTGACACTAAATAATAGGCCGCTATAGCCAATAACAATGCCGATGAAGTCGTTGTTGGTTAGACAACTCAAAAATGGCTCCATCAACGTTAAAAAAAAAAAAATACACATGTCACATTAGTCATTATAACCCAGAGTAATATTGTGTAAAATAATCTCAAATGTATAAATAATTTCAAATCAATTTCAAATAAATAATTTCAACAACTATTTCAACGGGTGAAAAAACCGCATAATCTCTGCCAAATAATTCAATAAACGTATCCTGTATAAAGAAAAATATTATATTTTTTAGATTTTGAGATCACTATATATTTTATTAAAACATGCAGATACGTATATGTGGAATCTTCATTTTTTTTCTTTTTTATTTTTCCAATTAAAAATTATATATGTGTTTTAGATAACATTTATTTTTATTAATAATCTCTTAGAACCTTCTACCTTTCTTTGTCATTGTCTTTGTAATGTAGATAACCAATTTTTAATAACGGACTAAAAACTACAATGCCAAAAAGAGTTTTATTAAAACAAAAATATTTGTTACAGAAACATCGCCATTCTTGTCCAGAAAATAGGAAAATCTAACACCAATGTATTGTATTTTCATAAATGTGAAATATCGCATTCTTTCTTTACGAATTAGCTCAATTCTCCGGCAAATGTAATTTTTATTTTTATTTTTTATCATTAAAATGGTTTCACACCTCGGGCATTTTATTTGAGGATATCTAATAATAATATTGTTATATTATTTGGTACAATTTTTTACATTTGACACAAAACAAGACAATTTCATTTTAAAGTAACCAATCAACATCCTACATTTTTAATTTACTCTAACATTCATTTTTATTTGGCATGATAAATTGACAAATTTACTCTTCAATTATTTTTTTTTCTTTTAATTTACTCTCAAAATTAATTTTTACAATATAATCTTGCATTTATTTAATCACAAAAATCTCTTAAGCAGTATAAAGACAAACTAATTTTGACTAAAAATTAAAGACCTAAAACATATTTTACCCACATTTTTACATGTAGTTTAGATGATTCTCATTTTTTTTGAAAACTAATTTAACCAAATCACAAACATTACTAGGCTACACATGTAGCATTATTGACTGTACTCAAATCACTCACCCTCCCGGAAACAACCCTCATAAAGTTGCATACTTGCATTGCATCGTGATAATGAATCTTTGAACGTAAATTTTCACTTGATACGATCACGTTGTGAGGGAAGTGATAAAACACATCATTTTATACAGAGTCCAACAAATTATAATAAGGTTTCTCCATTAAAGGTCCTTGTGTCTTTTCCTCATAAATAAAAATATCTTTGTGTCTATTTCTAACTTTACATGCCACAAAAACACACATTAGAAAATCCATTTCCGTTTCATCATACCTAGCATCACCTTGTTAGACACATTGTGTGACTTGAATATATATCTTGTTCGGTTGCATTTACATGCTCAATGAAAGCTTGCATATTACTAAAAAAAGCATTTTCAGAATAAAACTCGTCTCATTGAAGCCTAAGCGTCAGATCAACTACTGTCTATAACGTATATATCAACCTTACTACAACACATGTATGTAATAAAACTTGCAGCATGGCTGATACTGCAGAGGCATATAACATTTCCAAAGAATAAAATTTAATAAATGACGAATGCAAATAAAGTTAATGAATCAGCTATTGCACTGAACATCTTTATGTTCTTCTTCTAGTTCTTATTTAACTGTTTTAGTATTAATTTTTGGTAATAACGATAAAATAAATCAAGACCATCAAAACATGTCATTTACTCAATCAGGTATATACAAAGAAGAAAAAGTTAAAGCATTTAAATATGATTTTAACCTCTGAACACAAAATTTGAAATGAGGGGCAATGCAGCTCTTGCTGAGTAATTCTGTATAAACAAAAAGTGGTAGGAAATAAACTGAAGGTAAAGTTCTGTTATTTACCTTAGACGGAAAACTAAACTTCAAAGGAATCGAGTACAGCCTTTAGAGTCTCCTCAGAAGTTTGCCATTGCTTGTCATTGGCACTAACCACAAACAAAACAACAGTGTTTCCCTTTGCTGTGGCTTTTGCAAGATTGTGGGTGCCTGTGAGAGCATACGGAGTTTCAAGCACATATTTGTAGTACTGCGTGCAGACACCATTTCAGAAAATGTTAGTCACTAATAATTGCCAACTTTCCATACTCAATAAACATGAAAAGAAAATATTTAAAAAGAAGAGTATGCAATACAATCTATAATGCTGTGAGTTTTAGTAGATAAAAGAACTTGGTTGTGTTCTGTTTATCTTTTTCAATAGGGGGTGCACACTACACATGGGATTTCTTATTTAAGAATAGACATACAAATAAAACTGTCATAAGCACCATCCTGCAACTTAAAAGAATTTGCTTAGGTAAATTTCTCTAGAAACACTTCTAGAAGAGTAAATTATGCAGAAAAAATCAAATAAGCTTCTCTATAAGCTAAAATTAGCTTATGAATAAGCTAATTTCTATAAGCTCTCTCCTATTAACTTCTTCAAAATCTTATTTTTAATTTATACATTAACTAGTTTTAGCTTATGGAGAACTTTATGTCGATTTTCTTTCATATTTTTTTTCTTAGGAGTGTTTTTGGAAAAGTTTAACAAAATAGGCCTTAACTAACAAATGCTACTGGTAAAAAAACACACCAGAAAACGAGATTTCAAATACTTTAGTTTTTTTGAAATTTCTTATTGCAACTTGTGTGATACATGTGTGTAGAAACATCTTCAATACTGCTCATTTTTTGAGAAATGCTTCAACTAGAACATTCTTGTCCCCTCTGAATAACTTATGCCAGAGGATAGGAACTCAAGTTAATAATATTGATTTTGGGGCCATGTTGAAAAAAGTAAAAGACTATTAAATTTATCACTTGAGTACTTTATTTAGCTTTCTTCATTTTCTAATAAGTAAAAACAAAAGAAAAAACATAAATGTCCAGGCAAAATAGGCTATGGAAAGAAAATGTACCGTCTGATCACCAAGCTTTTCAACTGAAGTCTCAAGGAGCTCATCTGGATCCAATGTATTTCCAGTGACAAATGGCCCAAGAGAAGCAATCACTTTTTCTGGGCTCCCAATGTCCTCAATTGTTGCATTTGGTTTGTTGGTAAGGCGTATCAAAGGCGAGGCCACTACCTGAACTTTTCCCTGTTTTTCATCTTCAAATTTAACCTCCACCCATGGCTCTGCACATTTAGGCTGGCAGTAATTTCCAGATAATATGTTTGCTACACGAGCCTGTTTCCAAGTTGGGGGGAGGATAAACTTGTATGGCTGCACATTTCCTGCAAAGAACTAAATCTAGACTATATCAATTGCAAGATAAAATGGTTTCATCTCTTAAATATAAACAAGTTTGGATATATATATATATATATATATATATATAATCATCAGTAAAATTCATAAGAAGCAATAACTTTAGTGAACATTTGCAGAAAAAAGTGTAGAGTTGTAGATGCATGGAGATAACTTGATAACTACAATTCAGTATTGGCTATAATATACGAATCAGTGAAAGTGAGTGATAACATGTACTGCTTTGATCCTGAGAGATCTTGTCCACACAAATTAATAATTTGAGAGATGAAGAGTAAACTTGCTAGCAAGTTGATACTTCTAACAATTTGTATAGACCTACACTTTTTTTGGGATGCTAAAAAGTAGTAGCACAAGAAGACACCTTCAATACTAATAGATAAGAAGTCAATGGCATGTTGGGTCTGCCGATAGAAGTTCACCTAGATGATTACTATACATGTCTAAATTGCAAACAGTTCTACCCAATAACAGCTTCTTAACTAGCCCTAGGACACTAGAGGAACCCCTTGAGGAGAGTTGCCAACTAAGCGATTTTAGTAATGTTAGAGAGAATCAAAACCCGCATTCATGAAAAGGATGAGAGTTAATATAGACCTACACTTTTAGGGATGAAATTTTACATTGACCCCAGAGTTAAATTTACAAATTTGAATACTACCTAGATGCTAATAACAATAATGAGACCTTTTGAGAGTCATAAACCTCCAAAATTCACAGCTAAAATTTCTAAATATGCAATTGAGAGGTATCCAATAGATCAAATAAGATAGCCGGTGGTGCAGGATCACCAATTGGGAGACCCCAGACGTCAAAATCACAGTATCCTTATGCCTATCAAGTTATTCAGGTTCTGGTAAATTGTAATAATAATCATAATCACCACTTGTCCTTCCACATGAAGCCAAACAATGCAATGCCCAAACACATAACCATGCAATCACTAACTACTCTCTTCAATCAAAATTGAAATATGAGTCTTCGCCCATGTATGTACCTGCTCGAAGGGCTGGAGTGTCCTTGGGAGAGGCCTTGAAGAGAACAAAAGAAGGGTCAGAGGGTGAGGGTGGGAGGAAAGAGCCAACCTCAACTTCTCTAGCTAGTGAGGGGGGTGCCTCTCTCAGCAAAACAAGTGGAAGAAGGGCCTGCAAACCAATACCCTTCAAGAATTCCCTTCTGGGGGTGTGCTGGCTGAGAACAGGTTCAGAAGCTGAGGCTCTTAAAGCATGCAAAGCTGTGAGTCTTGAAGAGGAAGAGGAAGATGAAACTGTGATTGGGCATAAGGAGGTGAATGGTAAGGTTGCCATTTCAAATTAGTGAAATGTGTGTACGAAGGGACGAGGTTTAAGGTTGATGTTAGAATCTGAGTGAGTCACTCTGCCTCTTATCCATTGTGGATACATGAGGATCACACTTCTGACACTTTATACTTGCCTTCTCTCGGGAAAAACTACAGTAAAGTTCCAAGTTCATATATGCAAGATTACATGCGTTTATTGTTGTTTTAATCTTTCAAATTTAAAACTTTTTGTTAATTTTGATTTATGTATTTATTTTAGTCTATTTTATTTATTATTATTTCACGATAAAACAATGAATAAAACAGAAGATATTTTTCATAGTATATAATTTTTAGAAATATTTATTTTTAGTCAACTAGAAAAAATAAAAATTCTACATATAAGATACCTACATAATAGAAAAAAAAATATTTTTAGTATATATTTTTATTTTAAATAAGAAATAATTTTTTTTTCATATAATTTAAAATTTATTTTTTAAGCTATGTAATTTGAAAATAATCTTATTTAAATCTTTTTGTTATGATATTGTTCCAACTTAATTAATGTTAAAGAGTTCAAGTTCCAATCATATAGTTATCAATATTTTTATTAGTAAAAATATCACATTAAACTCAACTGATGTTATATAACTATCTTAATATGTTATTATTAATTACGTTACAAGTGGTCTCGACTCCTCAAAGACTACAACAAGATTTCTTTTTAAATATAAGAAAAAAAATATACCTTTATATATTAAATAAAAATTTTTATCTTGCATAAGAATTTCTTTTTAATGGAGTGTTTTTAAAAATCATTTTAACTTATCTAATTTAAATTTTATTTATCACATTTATCTATTAAATTTTAATATTTTTAAATTAAATTTGATGAATTTTTTTTAGAGATTTTTTTTAACTTTTATTTAATTTAATTTTTTATTTATCATATTTACCTACAAATTACATTATAACAATTTTAAAATAAATTATCAATGATAAAAATGATTTTACACCAAAATATAAATTATTTACTATGAATATAAAAAATGACAAGTTGGGTTAGGTGTTCCTACCCGCGAAATTGTCAAAAAGTGATGGTTTAAACTAGGTGTTCCAACTCACTAGCTCACCATGGCTTGTCTCGCATAACCTGCCAACCCAACGAGTTATTGGTGGGTCGAGATGAACCAAATTGTCCTTTTATATATATAAAAAATAAAAATAGTATTAAAATTTTAAATTTAGAATTTTTATAATGTAATTTTGTTAAGATTTTAATGTTCTTAAAATTTTAAAATATATGCTTGTTATTATTGTTAATTTATTTTATAAATTTAATTTCTCTTGTACTAATAGAAAAATTCATATTCAAATGAAATTTAGACTAAATTATATTTACATTATTTTACTAAATTTATCTATTAAATTAATTTTATAAAATAAATAATCTTTCCTTTTTTATTTTTTTTCTTTTAATTATTTGCAAGTTGACCCGTCGATCCACCTTTAGGCAAGATAGGTCAAGGATTCCAACTCGTTTTTAATTGATGAACCAGCACAACCTAACTCATTTTTGGTGGACTAACGATGGGTTGTGCTTAAACAAGTTGAACTAACCCATTTTGTCATCCCTACTTATAGCTTGAAGAAAGCAATCATTGAAATGAGAGACAATTGTTATCAAAGTGCCCAATTAGTTTCAAGACATGTCACGATACCCAAGGTTATTACATTTCTCATGATCATGCCAATTTTTGGGTGGTTAAATCAATATTTGTGTGACTATGTCGAAACTTTGGCTTGTGTTGGCCTGTTTACTAAGTAGTATGAATTTGTAACACCCTCAATTAAGAGGTGTCGTTGCTAAGATGTACGACTTATAAGGCAAAACTACCTCCAAAATATTACTATTTTTTGCACTTTTTTAATTAACCACCTTTATATATATAACTTTAAGTGTTCTTTAACCTTTCCTTTCATGCTTCCCCTTTTAGAAAGCATTTGTCTTATCTTTTTCATGTTCTTTACTTTTTTAATAAGCTATTCATTATCACCTTCTTCTACTTTTTGCTTTTTTTTTTAACTTGTCCACCTCTAATTTTTTTTTCCTAAGGTATCCTTAAAACTTTCCTACCCCACCTTTAGTCTCCCAACTTCCTTTTTATAAAAGAAACAAGCCATCTTATCTCCTTCAACTTATTTTCTTTTATTTTCATTTTATGTCAACCTAAAGTATGTTGGAGAAAGATAACAAATAATAATAATTAAGCAGAAGAAAACTAGATCTCATTTTCTCCTATATAAATAACAATAAAGCTTCAGAACCACCAAGATAATTTCAAGCCTATAATAGGATGCAAAAACTAAAAAAATAGAAATCAACAGACATCAATTTTTAATATGGAAAAACCCTTAATGTGAGGTAAAAGCTCATAGGACCTAATTCAGTAAAAGCTCCACTAATAATAATTAACATGTACACCACAAGTCTTCTTGGAAACATAAGAGATCACTAGAAAGTTCTTCACCAATAAAGTAGATAACAATATAAGAGAACTCTTAAATAAGTATCTAACCAAATAATAGAGAGAATCAAAATACACTAAAATTGGTACCAAACACTTTTTCTCCAAGTTGATTACTACGCTCTTTTTAACAAAATTCTTTTTCTTATTCACTTGGTTTCACAAAGAGGCATAACACATGTAGACACACACACTACTGTCTGATTTCTCCTTCTTCTGTAGAGTTGATCTCACATTCCACACTACTGTCTGATTTCTCCTTCTTCTGTAGAGTTGATCTCACATTCCAAGAGTCACCACACTTGATGCTAATATAATTAACATATTGGGCTTTTGGCCCATTCTCCAAGCCTAGCCCTTTTTTTAACAAAGTCATCGTGAGCTTAAATAAATTGGTGACCCACCTAACAAATCTCCCTTCACCAAATTAATTGGGGTCATAGTCAGCCAAACGTGCCTCTCTTTGCAAATAACAAACTTTCCTGTAAGTAAGGTCTTTGTATCCAAACCATTCTCTTTAGTATGGATTTTCTCCAATGATAATTGCTTCATCTCTAATGCATATGTATCCAATGATATCAAACCTCAATATGTTTTGACCTACCATAAACCCTAAACCCTAAATTACATATGCATATGGGACTTCTACATTTCTTCTTTATCTTTATCACTTGTAAGACATTGCTTAGAGTTTAACTTGAAGTAACTTGCAAATTGAGTACTAATAGACTCGGAATTTCCCACACTAAATCTCCTTAATACCTTCTTAATGTACTTTTGTAGTAATAACCACAATTTACCATTCTTCCTATCACATAATCTTCATGTCAATAATTTGTCTTGCAAGACCCAAATCCTTCATTGCAAAGGACTTATTCAACACTCTTTTGAGATTTAGAATCTATCTCGTGTTGTGACCAACAATCAACATGTATCCACATAAAGTAAGAGAATAATAAATTTTTTGTCCAAAAATTTCTTCACAAACACACAATGATCAAAGGAGATTTTGTCATACCCGTGATTAATCATGAAGGAATCAAATTTCATATATCATTGTCTTGGAGCTTGTTTGAATCCATACAAGATCTTCTTAAATTTGTAGACAAGCTTCTCTTTTCCTTTGATTGCAAAATCTTCAGGTTGTTCCATGTAAATTTTGTCCTCCAAGTTACCATGAAAGAAAGTAGTCTTCACATCAAGTTGTTCAACCTCCAGGTTCAAATTAGTTGCTAGGTCAAGCACAACTCTAATTGAAGATATCTTGACCACGGGTGAAAATATTTCTTCAAAATCAATTCCTTTTTTTTGACTAGAACCTTTCCCAAACAACCTTGTCTTGTACCTTGGCTGTTAGCAATTTTCTTATAATTTTAACTTGAACATCCATTTATTTTTTAGTGCTCTCTTGCCTTAGGCAAATTCACCAACTCAAATGTATAGTTTTTATGTTAGGATTTCATCTTCTCTTACATGGATTTATACCCTTTATCCTTGTCTTCATGTGACATAACTTCTTCATAGCTCTCTGCTCTCCCCCATCATTCAACAACACATACTCACGGGGTAATGTTTTTGTGAAGGATAATACTCTCTAGCAGATCTTCTCAATTAAAGCACTATAAGTGGTTCAAGAGGAACATGCTCTACTTGTTCCTTAACTTGTGGCTAAGGCACATCAACTATATTCTTCACATTTGCATTCACATCTCCCCCATTATTAATGGCCCTATTAATAGGTTTTGGCTCAACATCAATGTCTTCATGAATAACTATTTTGGTTTCTCCTTCTTATCAAAATCTTCAATGGTTTCTTGTTCAAGAAAAACAACTTCTCAGCTTCTACATGGAGGATACGTGTAGAAAGAAATTTATGCCACAAATTTGTAAAGTAATCCTCAATTGCATTCACTTGAGGTGTAAATAGATTTGTTGATGTCCATTAAAAAGTATGTTGCTTCTCTCCCTTTTCTACCACCAAATTCTCACTGGTGCACTTCCATTTGCCATTACCAAAAGAATTATGGTAACCATCTTCATCAAGTTCCTGCATTGAGATCAAGCAAAGGCACATATCAAGGATGTGCATGACGTTCTTCAAGTTCAACTTGCATATGATATTAGTCCCCAACCAAATTTCTCCAATGCCAGCAACCTTGCTTACCCCTTGATTTCCCATCTCCACTTGCCCAAAATCCTTGGCAATGTAAGATGTAAAGAACTCATGATGTGGTGTAACATGAAATGAGGCAGCATAATCAATAATCTAGTCATAGTCTTGGCATGAGAGATTAATAAAATTATCATAATAAACAATGACAACTTCACCATCAGATATAGTGTAGTAGTGTCTTTATCTTTATTTTCTTTCTTGTCATTCATTGTCTCTACCCCTTGATTTATCTCGTTTAAAGTACCTACACTTCTTCATCACATCCCCCACTTTATTGCAATGGAAACACTTGGTCTTTCCTTACCCCTGACCTTTCTGTTGACCTTCTACGATCATCATATCTTTGAGAATTTCTATGATGGCTTCTCCCCCTTGACTCAACAACCAAAGCTTCATTATGAGTTGAAGAACTACTCATTCCTTGTCTCTTTCTCCTA